ATAAAGTAGTTTTTTAATCTTTTTTATAAGGTTTTCCACCTCTGTTTGAAGCACAGTATGCGTTTTTATCTTAAATATTTAAAACAACCTATGTAAGTAACATAGATGACAAATGATGCAATAAAATTTTTGAATTTGATTGCTTGTACTTAGGTAAGGTAAGGCTTTGCTTTTTACAGCAAAAAATAGATATATATCGTGCATTAGCGATGTAGACACACTTGCCTTGATTCGTCGGGGAAGTGTGTCTAAAGTAGTGCTTTTAGTTTTAGACCGTAATAATAAATTATTCATGTTTAAATCTTATAAAACATATTGTTTTTCAGCTAATTATGAATCTTATTAATATGCCACACTTACCCATATTGACCTCAATTAACACGGATCTAGAACGCTACCTTGTGGTGCACCATATTTAACTATTTTAGGAAGTGACTCATAAGAGATTCTGTTTTTGTTATTAATGAAATTCGACTAATTTTTGATCCTATCGCTCTGGCATAAGGTATTCTGGTGAAATTTATGAATGTAGTGTTTCAGATACTAATTTAATTTATGTTAAATTTGTCTAGTTATTTCCTGACATTGTTTGTACTTAATTTTTCTTATAATTTTACAAATGTCTTCCGGGCTAACAATTACGCAATTCCACTTCATAGCCGTTCGCCATATAAATGTGGAAGCGTAACGCTTCGTGCGAATCTTTGGAATATCCACAATATAAAGGTGGAACAAAAGCCTACGCTATCCTGTAAAATACCGATAAGCTGGCAACTTTATGGTGGTGTTTAAGGCTCTGCAGCTTCGCCTCCACTAATTCCGAGTCATCTATAAGCTTCTTGGCACGGTTGTCAATTGAATCTAAGGTGGCAAGTTGGTATGTAGCAGAACCATCCTAAAGGTGGCAGCATTACTCCATGCACGATCGGACTTGCGCTTGCGCCATGGATTCAATGTATATGCCGAAGTACAAATTGGACGACATCTCCATTCCAAGTAGCTGGAGACAGTCGGCTATCGGTATGGATATATCACGAAAAGTCGGAGTCAACTCAAAGGGACTCCGTTTTGTGGAGAATAGACACGCCTGCGTTTGGGTAGCGTTAAATTTGACAAGTAAGTATGGCATCGCCTCAATCGGCTAAACATGGACTCTCGACAAGACTGGATGTCCTCTCTACTGAACCTTGCATTGATCAAGTACCTATCTACAACTGTGTTGTCATCAGCATATGTAAAGGTACCTGGAATTAACATATCATTGATATGCAACAGAAAGAGAGTTGCAGACAGTGGTAATAATAGCTTAGTATTAATCATACTTTGATTACAGTAAACTAAATAAATTTGCAAACACAAAAACAGTTTCA